TTGTCTTTGTTTAATTGGAGAAAGTTCTGACACATCCAGTCATTGATTTGTTCAATGCACTTACTCAGTGTTTGAATTGGAGCATAGTCTCCTGGTGAAATTGTTATGTGAATGTGTGTGTCATCTGCATAGCTATGGTAACTTGTTTTGTTGTTTTTCCTTATCTGAGCCAGTGGTAGCATGTAGATGTTAAAGAGAAGAGGCCCCAGAGGAGAGAAGTGTGTGCATCAGCTTGAGAGAGCACAGGTCTGAAACAATCATAACAAAACATGCCCTTATTGAACTATATAAATGTTTGTTACCAGGTCCTGAAGCCAAGAAAAAGCCTCTCATGTCGAGGAACTCATTGTCGTATCCATGCCAACCATTTTGCCATGCTGAGGCCTCCCCGGTGTCGTTTTTCCAGTACGGGAGCATGGCCTTGTTCTGAAGACACACAACAAGAACATCAACACAAACACCCATTCATACTGAAGAGAGAACAAAGTAGGGTGAGGTTTGGTGGACTTTTGACGGCTGCCACTAAATGGATCTTACTTTCCAAGGTCAACATAGGACTCGCTTAAATGGGTCCACAAGGTTTCTCTTGTTCACTAACAAAAGTAATGATCACATTTGTTGTTACCTTAATGCATTGTCGGTTAGAGCTCTAACCTGTGTTTAATGCATTTCCTTCCATATGAAACACCTGCAAAGCTGTTTTTATTTATTCTATTACATCCATGTTGACTAGCTTGCAGTCTTTCTCTTTCCCACCTGTAGATCAGTGGAGCAGTGGAGCAGTGAGAACACATTGGATCATGCTACCAACCTACACTTGCATTAGATGAATTAGAAACAAATGATGAAAAGTCTTGATAAACAGTGGATAAGCACATGCAGCTCTTTTACTCCTTCAGACACGTCTCAACATGCTCTGTCCCCCCTCACATCTTTGCATTCACCTCAAATGCAGTTTCTCACATTTAAAAAATCCAAAGGTGAAAAGAAGTGAGAACTTTTTCCAAGTGAAAAACAAGTGAAGTTACCTGAGCGATGAACCAGCCCGGCTCAGCCACCAGGGTCAGGGGGGCGACGAACCTCCCTCCTTTGAAGTGGAAACGATCAGGGATCTCCTGTCTGCCATAGACTCGCATGTTGTGGACCTGAGACAATGCAGCATACACCTGGCGCGCGCACGCACGCACACACACACAAACACGCAGACATGCACACACGCACACACACACACACACACACACACACACACACAGACAGACAGACAGGCAGGCACAGACGCACGCACGCACACACAC